GCATGAGTATGCAACTAGGAAAAAGACAGGGCCAATACATGCTCATTACATATATATACATATAGATTACATATATAATGACATTTATGTGTGTATTATGCATATATAAATGTATATTACTATATGTGTAAATACTATAGGCATAATTATATGTTACTAATACACACATCAATATACATGCATATATATATATATATATATATATATATAAATATATATATATATGTGCATTACTGTCAGGATCACATCAATTTACGTCTATTACCTTTACCTCGTTCAGTATATCTTGTCTCCAATTGTCTCCTTTTTTTCTCTTACAGCGACCCTTGTGCATCTTTTACTTCATCCCAGTCCCTGTGTTTCTTTTTACCCTTCTCCAGCCTCTGTATTTCTCTTTCCCCCAGCCCCTTTTGTGTTGTTCCTAGCCCAAGCCACTTTGTCTCTTTCTCCCCTTCCAAATCTCATCTGTGTGTCTCTTTCTAACTCCAGAGTCTGTGTGCCTCTTTCTCCTCTTCCAGTCACTCTCTGTCTCTTTTTCCCCAGCCCAGCGTTGCCTCCCACAAATCTTGTGTCACTTTGTTCCCCTTCCCTATTGTATGTCTCTTTGTCCCCCCAACAAACCTTCTGTGTGTCTCTCTTAGCCATCTCCTCCGTGTCTCTCTCTTACCCCTCTGTCTCTGTGTCCTCCTTCTCCTGTGTCTCTCTATTACCCCTCTCTTTGTCCCCCCAACCCCTATGTCTATTACTCCTCTGTCTCTTTGTCCCCTCTTCCCTGGTGTCTCTCTATTACCCATCTCTTTGTCCCCCCATCCCCCGTCTCTCTATTACCCCATCTGTCTGTGTCCCCCCTTGCCCTATGTCTCTCTATTACCCCTCTGTCTCTTTTTTGTCGTCCCCAACCTGGTGTCTTTCTATTATCTCTGTGTCCCCCCATTCCCCTGTGTTTCTATTACCCCTCTATTTGTCCACCCATTCTCCTCTATTTGTCTCCCCCATTACCCTCTATTTGTCTCCCCCATTCCCCTCTATTTGTCTCCCCCCCATTCCCTCTATTTGTCCCCATTACCCTCTATTTGTCTCCCTCCTTCCCCACTATTTGTCCCCCCTTCCCCCTCTATTTGTCTCCCCATTTCCTCTATTTGTCCCCATTCCCCTCTTTGTCCCCATTGCTCTCTATTTGTCCCCTTCCTCTCTATTTGTCCCCACCTTCCCTCTATTTGTCTCCCCCATTCCCTCTATTTGTCTCCCTCCTTCCCCTCTATTTGTCTCCCTCTATTTCCCCTCTATTTGTCTCCCCCTTCCCCTCCGTTGTCTCCCCTTCCTCCTGTTGTTGCCCTTCCCCTCTATTTGTCTCCCCATCCCCTCTGTTGTCCCCCATTACCCTCTGTTGTCTCCCTTCTTCCCTCTGTTGTCCTCTTCCCTCTATTTTGTCTCCCCCCATTCCCCTCTATTTGTCTCCCCATTTCCCCTCTATTTGTCCCCACCCATTTCCCTCTATTTGTCCCCATTACCCCTCTATTTGTCCCCCTTCCTCTCTATTTGTCCCCTTCCCTCTATTTGTCTCCCCATTTCCCTCTATTTGACTCCTTCCCCTCTATTTGTCTCCCCCCTTCCCCTCTTTTTAACTCCCCCCCTTCCGTGTCCCTTCTGACCTTGTCACAGGAGGTCTGAGGGAGAGGGCAGAGCTAGCTACCATGCTCCTTTGCGGTTCCCATAATTCCCAGCATCTACACATTATAGAGTAATCCCTACTCTATGATGTGTAGATGCTGGGAATTATGGGAACCGTGAGGGAGCATGGTAGTTAGCTCCACCCCTTCCCTCAATCCTCCTGTGCTGACAGCCGCATGGCTGTCAGTATCAGTGAGTGTGCTGCTGGATCGCTTAGGCGGCCGCCCGGCACACTCACTGATACTGGCAGTCACACAGAGATGGGGCCGCCGGCCGCAAGGTGAGTAATCACCTCAAAGTGAGCCGCCGGACCGGCCACCTGGCGGCACCGACATGCGGCCGGCGGCCGTGATATTATTAAAATATAGAGAGCAGGGCTCCCTCTCTCTTTCCAGCCCCCCCAGGTGCCGCGGCCCACCGGGAAATTTCCCCGGCTGCATGTTTTTATGTGGAGAGTTGCTGTTATACAATTTTGTGCCGCATCAGGTTTTATCACTCAGTTAATAAGCAGGTGCATAAGCTTATATCACATGGTGACCAACAAGAGTATGTTTCAAGTCATATGAGCAGGATGTATCTTTATAATGTCTTAGCGGGTGAGTTATCCCAGTGATCCCATAAACAGGAGCTCTATGCAAACACTCCCTCATTGATACACATACACAGACACACATACAGTCATTGGCACACACACTGTTTAACTGACAGACACACAGACACACCCACTCGCCGACAAATCCATACTCTCAGATACACATACACTGACATACACTCACTTACTGACAGACACACAGCCTCACTGACACACTCACAATCACTGACAGACATACACTCTCATTGATTGACACTCACACAAATACACACTTATTAACTAATTGACACACTGAGACACACAAACACTGACAGATGCACAAACACAGGACACACACACACATGCACTGACTGACACACACCTTCACTGATTTGACAAACTCTGACAGATGCACACAATCAATGGCAAACACACAAACACACACACTGACAGACACATGCTCTCACTGACTCCACACACACTGACAGACACACACATTCACTGACAGACACTTACACAAATACACACTCATTAAATGACAGACAGACACACAAGCACTGACAGATGCACAAACACAGGACGTACACACACATGCACTGATTGACACACACCCTCACTGATTTGACAATCTCTGATAGATACACACAATCAATGGCAAACACACACACTCACTGACAGACACATGTTCTCACTTATTTGACACATTCTGACAGACACACCCACATTCTCTCACACACAAATTATTATGATTTTTTTTTTTTTTTTAAATGTATTATTTAAATCAATCCAGCCTCCCTGGAGTGGATCCTGTCCCCAGAGTCCAGTGTGGCTGCTATGAATGTCCTCTTCTTGCTCTGCTCCTCACACACTGTTTAATGATGCCGGAGCTGGAGTGACATCACCACACAGACCAGGAATATTGCACATAGACACGCACCAAGGGAGCACGAAGATCGCCAGCTGGCCAGCTCTTGGGCCTTCCATGACAGGGGGAACACAGGGGGTCTGGTCGCATGAGAACTATAGCAACCCCTCTAGTTTGACCATTGACACAGATAGAAGATGCATTAGCAGGGGTCAACAGGGCAGCCGGGACCCTGGATTAACAGGCATGGTTGCAGCTGCAACCCCCGTGACCATGGTAATACCTCATCTGGTAATATGTCTCTTTTAAAGACATTCTCTAACTTCCAGACCAAGTTACCAAAAGTGAGTGAACTCATATGCAGTACTGAACATCCGTGTTCAGATATTGTCCACTTGCAAATTAGCTCATAAAAAGGAAGGTATCTGTTCTTAAATCAGCAGAGAACAGTATTAAGGCAATAAACTATCCCACTATTTAAATTTTCCAACACATAGATCAATGAGCTTGGCACTCAACACTCATGGAATTCTGACATAGTTAGCCATAAAAATAGCACAAACCTTGAATAGTATATGTGGAACTGCACTCACTCCCACAAATCTGAGCCAGTGTGCTTGCTGAACCGGAATCAAACACCAGATTGCCAAACATTAGTAAAATAATAGGAGTCCAGGCACTCCTTGGTTCAAGACAAGCACTTTATTGAGAACCACAACAGCAACGTTTCGACCCCAAAAGGTCTTTATCAAGTTTGTTGTTGTGGTTCTCAATAAAGTGCCTGTCTTGAACCAAGGAGTGCATGGACCCCTATTATTTTATAAAAACAGCACAAGCTAGATACACAAATACAAATTATTGCAGTTGTAGCCAAATGTAACTAGTTAGGAGTTAAACCACTTGCTATACATTGTAACAAAATCAGCAGTAGCACTACAAGTGCTACACCATTAATTGATTTTATTAAAGGACACGGAGGCTCTTATTAGGCTTATCTCTTTCTTTTATTCCTCAGCAGCAAAGAAAGCTAAGGTGTTTATTTGTAGAAAAAAACATACATAAATACCCTCACAGGGTTAACCTTACATCATTATCTCTTAACCAATAGGAACAGTCCATCTCTGATATCCTCTCATGTAACCTCCTCCTCTTCCTCTTTCTTTGCTGCTGCCTCAGCTAAGTAACACCTTCATTTTTTCTTGATATGCATTGCTTAATTTGATTCTGTGATTTCTGTTGATTCTGTGTTGTTGCTGCAGTATAATCTCCTGACTACTGTGTTTTCCCTCCCACCCTCAACCCTCCTGTGGGTTCACTCAGTGGGGGTGCCCCTCCCACGCATCCCCGCCGGTTCCCCGACCCCCAGGGCGGGTATACCGGCCGTTCACCTCACTATCGGGTAGTTTATTACCCGCCCTCCCACCCGCGGCACTCGGGCGCTGGGCGCAGGGAAACCCCTGGGAACGGTTCAAACTGTTCCCTGACTGGGTTTTTTCCTCGGCGCCAGTGCCCGCGAGTGAGTGCCGCGCGCGCATGCGCATTTCCAGCCGCGACCCGCGGCGGCCATCTTAAAGGGGCGGCAGACATAAATTTTGCCGCTCTTTTTTCCCCCTCAGCTCGCTCAGCCCAACAAGAAGGGGCGAGCTGATTGGTTTAGAGGCCTGCCTGTCAGCTTGCCAGTGCTCCCAGAGGGCATTCCTGAGGGAACACTCGGTAAGCTAACAGTGCAGCCTTTTTTCTGTCCTGTCTTTGCCTTGTCTGACTGTCTACCCTGCCCTGCAGTGTGTAATTAACAGCCACAGTTTTTACTGCCAGACTGTGTGAGTCCCATTATCCTGCCACTAAGTATCTAACTATGCAGGCCCCTAGTGAGCACCCTGTCTCTGGCCCCAGTGATGGTGAGGACACCAACGCCCGCCACCAGACCAAGCTGTCTGAACCCCTAACCCTCCAAGGGGATGCGGTGGCTCCGCTGGAGCAGCTGGACTCGCAGGAGTTCCACTCACTCCTGGACGCCACCATGTCACGGTCGGTCACCCAAGCGATTTATTCTGCAATGGGGGCTATGTCTGACAATCTCTCTCACTCCATCACTACTGCTCTTAAGGCATCCACCACCAATTTGCCCCGCGCTAGAGCCGTGGCAGACGGGTCATTACGCAGGGAAGGCCGGAAAGCCATAAGCAAAACCCATCACGTGCAAACTCCTACCTCCAAAAAAGAATTGACGGACAGGGTACGTCCTGTCACCGCTGAGGTCGTGGGGCCCCCACGAAAGAGAGCCACCCGCCGGGCAAAAGCGGCGCGGACGTGGAAGAGGGCAAAAGCCCTGTCAGATTCTTCCGACACTGATTCGGATAGTGAGGAGGTTTTGAACGAGTCCGACGAGATCGACTCAAATGAATGGGAGGTCTCCTCCCAGGACCATAGTCCGTCACGAGATCCAAATACCCTAAGGTATGATAACGCGGATCCGTCCGCCATTTTGGATCCACAGGGCGAACCTCTGTTCGATCCCGATACATTACAGAACCCTAGGTCAGCAGAGTGGTTCCCAACTGAGCATGTGGCACGCTACATAGCAGCCAGAATCCGTAAGCCTTTAGATAAGGCCACCAGGAACAAGTTGCGGGCAGAATGCCCACGGCCAACAGTCCCCGACATGGCCTGTGCCACGCCGGATATAGATCCCAAGGTAGCACAGTTCCTGGGAAAAACTGGCTGGAAGGCAAAGAAGGGATTGGATTACTCCCTACGCCACTGCCAGGACAAGGTACTCGATACACTCGGCCCTAGTGCCAAAATCTTCGAGCTGGTTGAAGCAGCCCTAACTGAGGGGACACCGTTAGATTTGCTAGCCATTAGAGGCTGGGCCCAGAGATCCATTTGCCTCATCGGCAACGCTAACGCCGCGCTAGCCACTGAGCGGCGCAAAACCATTCTTATGAAAATTGAGCCCAAGCTCGTAAACATGGCCCTCACCGAACCGGGGCCACAAGCCAAAGGTCTCCTATTCGGAGACAATTTCGTTAAGGAGTTAAGCACTTACGTAAGCACGTTTACGGCCCTAGACAAGGCACAGACAAGCATAAAAAGAGTGTTCTCTCCCAGAGTTTTTGGTGGGGCCGGCAGACACCGGGGCCGTCTGCCCGGCCGTTCATCCCGTGGTTCATACCGGGGATACCGAGGTCCCGCTACGGCTAGATTTCAGCCGCCAGAAAACAGAGCACCCTCGCCCTTTTTTCCGGTCAGAGGCAGACCATGGCGACCTCGAGGAACCAGAGGCACCTCATACAGCCGACGGCCTTATGGTGAGTGCAATACCTTTCCCCTCCCCGGGTATACACAGCGTAGGGGGCAGACTGTTACACTTTATAGAGGTCTGGCAACACTTGACAACAGACTCGTGGGTCCTAAATACTGTAGTAGGGTACCGCATAGAGTTCGTACAACCCCCTGTCCAAACTACCTGGCCACACCGAATAACATTCTCCTCACACGACAGGGACCTGGTGACCAAAGAGATCCTCTCACTCCGAGAAAAAGGCGCAATATTTCAGGTTCCCTCACCCTTCCCGGGGTTCATGAGCAATCTATTTCTGGTACCCAAGAAAGGAGGCGGAGTCCGCCCAGTCATCAACTTGCGGCCCCTAAACGCATTTGTCCGATACCGCCATTTCAAAATGGAAGGTATCCACTGCTTACGAGACCTGCTCAGAGTGGGGGACTGGATGGTCAAACTAGACCTGCAAGACGCCTACCTCACGATCCCTATAGCGGAAGAATGTCGCCACCTACTCCAATTCCAATGGCAAGGAGCGACATGGAGATTCCAATGCCTGCCCTTCGGACTCTCATCAGCCCCTTGGTGCTTCACCAAGCTCCTAAAACCAGTGGTCGCGTTATTGCGCAGCAGAGGCATACGAATGATCATATATCTGGACGATATGCTGCTCATGGCGCACGAGGCCTGCCAACTCCGACAGCATCTATCCTGGGCATTGACCCTGTTAAGAAATTTGGGATTCCTCATCAATTGGGAAAAATCGGTACTTACCCCATCTCAACACATGGAATTCCTGGGATTCCACATAGACGCAACGACCGGGACGCTCAGTTTGCCAACAGACAAAGTCAAGAGCATAAAAAAGGAGATCCGCAGAACACTGACAAGACCAGTGTTAACTCTGCGACAACTAGCCAGGGTACTTGGACTCCTATCAGCCTCCATCCAGGCAATCTTCCCGGGGCCTCTACATTACAGGGCTCTGCAAAGGCTAAAAGCCTCACATCTACGCTCGGGGCACTCATACTCCGACTCCGTCCCACTCGACCACGAGGCCAAGCAGGAACTCACCTGGTGGCTGCATCATATGGAAGCATGGAACGGCAGGGCTATCTTCGGAACTGCCCCGGACTTCACCATAGAGTCCGACGCGAGCACACACGGTTGGGGAGCGCGCTGCGGGCCTACCTCCACCGGAGGCATCTGGTCACGCTCAGAGAAAGAGTTACACATCAACGGCCTGGAACTCATGGCGGGGTCATTCGCCCTGAGAAGTCTCCTCGGAGCCGCAACCAACTGCTCCATTGTCCTGCGAATGGACAACATATCTGCAGTCCGATACATCAACCACCTTGGTGGCACAAAGTCAAGGATCCTGGCGGACTTGGCCAAAGACTTTTGGCAACATTGCCTGGCACGCAATATTTCGGTACAAGCGGAGTACATCCCGGGCATGTCCAACATAGTGGCGGACTGGTACTCCAGACATCTGCGAGACACCAGCGACTGGCGGCTAGACCGCAGTGTGTTCTTACGACTTCAGACGCTCTGGGGCCCGATGCAAATCGATCTCTTTGCGTCTCGTTTGAACTCCCAATTGCCAACATTCTTCAGCTGGAGGCCGGATCCAGACGCCCTGGCAGCGGACGCTTTTTCTCCAACACTGGCCACACAACAGATTGTATGCATTTCCTCCGTTCTCCCTCACAGCTCGAACACTGGTGCACCTCAGGCGGACTCAAACGTCATTGGTCCTCATAACCCCGTTTTGGACAGCTCAGCCGTGGTTCCCCACACTCATGGAGATGTCTATAGACCTGCCGAGACACTTACCAGACGTCTCATACCTTTTAGCAGATCCAGAGGGCAAACCACACCCCCTGTTGGTACAGGGGCAACTCAAACTTTTAGCATGGTTGCTTTCAGGGGACCATGGAGCGTCCCAGAGGTTCCACAGGAAACTATCGATCTACTGGCAGGAGCTTGGGCGCCTGGAACGAGACGCTCCTACCTCTATGCCTGGAACGGATGGAGTAGTTGGTGCATGGAACAGCAGGTGGATCCCATATGTGCTCCTATAAATTACCTGTTGCGTTTCTTTACCAACCTATACAATCAAGGTTTGGCCTATCGCACCATCAACGTGTACAGGTCTGCAATCTCAGCGGGACACCGGGGAATAGATGGGACCCCAGTGGGCCAACAACAATTGGTATGCCGTCTCCTTCGAGGTATTCGGTTTGCTCGTCCACCGCAACCCCGATACACGTCTCTATGGGACGTCAACTCAGTTTTACAACTGTTAGAAACTTGGCCACACAATGAGACACTCACACTGAAACAACTGTCAGCAAAACTAATCATGCTCCTCTGCTTGATCTCTTGTAAGAGAGTGTCAGACGTCAGGGCGTTGGACGTTGATGCAAGATCCTTTACTCCCACGGGGGTTTCATTCAACATCTCCAGACGTACAAAGTCATCAATTACCTCAGTTTCGTATCCAGCATTCCCGCATAACCGTAAACTCTGCCCGGTGGTTTGCTTGAAGGAATACGAGACAAGGACCCTGGAATTCAGAAACCCGAGGCACCCGGAATTGTTTTTAGCTATCAAACAACCACACCATCCCGTATCCACGGTAACTCTCGCCAGATGGGTGAGATGGATAATGGCCTTAGCCCACATAGATACAACTGTATATGGTGCACACTCTACCAGGGGGGCCATGGCTTCAAAGGCTTTTAATTTAGGTTGTAAATTGGAAGATATCATGAAAACAGCAGACTGGTCTAGGGCATCGACATTTAAGGAATACTACTTTCGACCTACAGAACATGTGTCAAGTTTAGTTATTGCACAGCTTTAAACTAGCCTAATAAGAGCCTCCGTGTCCTTTAATAAAATTACCAGATTTTACTAATTACATGACGTAAAGTCATGATTTTATAAAGGACACGGAGGCGAGTATTAGCCCACCCAGGGCAGATACAACAAAACATTTGTATCCCAACCCAGGTACGTAATAGGGACTTTTTTTCGTTAAATGAGTTATCATTGATATAAGGTATATGTGTTACGCTATGGTAAATCTATCAAACAAGGAATGATTGCATGTTTAATATATGATTGATTACATAAACAGCTCACCTTTTAATACCATAGTAAGATGAAAATAGTTGGCAAGGACACGTTTTACCATTTGTTTTCTTTGTCTTTCCAGCCTGAAACACAGCTAAAAGATACCCACTGATGACGAGAAATAATCTCGCAGTTTTGAGAGGATCAGTTTCGGAAGATCCCGCGTTATTTGTGGACGGATTCAACTTCAACGTCAAGTATCCAGTTGTCAACCGTTTGTGTGTTTTGGTTATAACGAATTTTGTTACATACTAATGGTGATTTGTTCGTTTCGGCATCATCAAGAAAGAGGAAGAGGAGGAGGTTACATGAGAGGATATCAGAGATGGACTGTTCCTATTGGTTAAGAGATAATGATGTAAGGTTAACCCTGTGAGGGTATTTATGTATGTTTTTTTCTACAAATAAACACCTTAGCTTTCTTTGCTGCTGAGGAATAAAAGAAAGAGATAAGCCTAATACTCGCCTCCGTGTCCTTTATAAAATCATGACTTTACGTCATGTAATTAGTAAAATCTGGTAATTGTAATCACATAATTCAAAACCGCTGCACAAAAGTATATGTTTTTACATCCCCCAGGCTATGTCATTAAGAGCACTTTGTGAACAAACCTATGAGCAACTGATGATTTTTTTGGGAGTTTTTTCCATACATTTATTTTAGGGAAATTCACAGACAACAGATGTCCTACTACTGCAAACCCATATTTGTATTCTGCTACTGGTTTTGATTGCAATGATACCATACATTTATATTTCATAACCTAATCCTGCCCATAATCATACCCCTAATATTGTTCCTTAAACAATCTTTAATACAAACCCTTAATCCAACCACTCATCCAATGCCATAATACAATTTGTAATCCTACCAATAATCTAACTCATTTTCCTACCCCTAATCTTACCTATAATCTAACTCTAATCTAACCAATAATCAAACCCTAATCCTACCTGAGTCCAACCTATGATCTTATTCAAAATCCTATCTATAATTTCAGTCCAAATCCCACCCTCTAATCCTAGTCCTAAT